GTTCTCACATTAGTGTGCTTCCTGTCAACTCTACAACAACACACTCCCTCTCTTTCTGTGGGCTGTGGGTGCCCCCAATGAAGGTTTCTACAAGCAGGTTTATGTCTTCTATTTCATCGTGTATGTGGCTGGGTTGAACAAGATTGTGTTCACACATTACTGAGATGGTTACACCTTCATCATCATGAAGTGCCAGATCTAAAACAGACATCATCGATCATTGTTCTCCCTTCATTCCTCCACTCTCAAAGATCCAATCCCTTGTGCTTCTGCGTCACCCATTCATTCAGGTTTTCCAGATCAGTTTCTCTTGGTCTACCCTTGCCTCGTTTGCCTTCTATACTTCTAGTGACAGCAAAAAGTTCAAAGCCCTTATGTCGAGCCAAAGAGTCAAATGTCTTAGACACAGCGTTTGTCACTTCCTAATTGTTCTCATCAGTAAGCGACCCACTTACTTCCTCATTTGATTTCTTTTCCACACATAAAATTCTCAAATCTCCCGAGAAACTACCGTACATTTCTCACACCATATTATGAATCTGAAACGACCGTTATTATGTCAAAATCCCTGTAAAGCTGTCAGGGGAAAGAACTAGGAGTTTCTCCCGCAATATCAGCAAAAATGGCGTAGTTGAGAGTCTTGGACGTCACAGCTCACTTGCGCTTGTTCTTCTTCTTCCGAGAGCCAGGTTTTTTCTTGCTGCTCGCGGCCTTCATGGCTTCCAGGGTCTGACCTTGGATCACGTCCAGGTAGTTCTGGAGGTGGCGAATGTCAAGGTCAGTGCCCTCCACGGCGCGGTCGAGGGCGGCGAACTCTTTCTCACAGGCCAGTCTCTCCTCGTCACTGGACACCTTCTGTCGCTTCTCGTGAACGGCCATTCTGAGGAAGAGAGAGAGGGAGGAGGGAGAGAGGTGCAGGGTTGTAATTATTTTCCTTGCTGCTATTTTTAGTGATGACAAGACAAGGACTATGTGCTTAACTGTTTGCACCGCTGTCATGTTTATTATTATTATTAT